GTGTGTCTAGAAGTTCAACATAATAAAAGTTTTAACAACCTAATTATAGCTACTGCTAACTACAACCGGAACAAAGTTCGACGGAACAACCTAAAAGCAATGACAATCAAGGAAGAGGTATGACAGTTACATGCTTGAATTGGGCTACAACATAAGTCCTTATGATTATTGTTTATATCACAACAAGGCACAAGATGGTTTGATGATATATTTGGTTATGTATGTGGAGGATGTGCTCATAACTATAAGGCCGAAGTCTGATATCCAAACGTTAAAGGGGCTTTTCAATGGTGAGTTTGAGATGAGGAATTTGGAAACTGCTCAGAAGATTTTGGGTATGGAGATTTACAGGGATAGAGAGAAGAAGAACTCTTCTTGTCACAGAAGAGCTACATCCAGAAGATATTGTCCAGTTTTGGCATGTCTTCAGCAAAACCCTTGAATACTCCTAGTGCATCATTTGTTCATCTATCCTGAGTTTATGCACGACAACTAGAGGCTGAGAAGGAGTACATGTTGAGAGTCCATATGCTAGTGCAGTAGGTAGTTTGATGTACGTTATGCTCTGCACTAGACTTAATTTTGCACATGGTGTTAGTGTTGTCAGCAGTTCATGATACAACCTGGGAAGAAACATTGGCAGGTAGTGAAAAGGATCTTCCGGTACCTGAATGGTACGTATGATGTAGGGATTAGCTTCAGAAGTGATACAGAGTGCTTAGTATCTGGCTATTCAAATTTTGACTATGTTGGAGATGTTGGAGATGTTGACATGAGGAGATCGATGACTGGTTATGTATTCACTCTTGAGAGTTATGTGGTGAGCTGGAAAGCAACTATGCAATCGAGAGTGACATTGTCTACTACTGAAGCAGAGTACATGGCATTGATAGAAGCTTCTAAGGAAGGAATATGGTTGAAGGGGCTGGTTGGTGATCTGGGTCTACATCATGATCAGGCAGTGGTTATTGTGATAGTTCAAGTCCAATATGTCTGGCCAAGGATCAAGTACATCGTGAGAGGACTAAGCACATCGATGTGAGGTATCATTTTTTGAGGACAGAGAAGAGGATTAAGGTGAAGAAGATTGGCACCACGGACAATCATGTTTACATGTTCACAAAGTCGGTTCCACATGGCTAGTTTCAACATTGCTTAGGGGCATTAATAGTGGGAGAGAGAGAAGGATATGAGTACATAAGAGATTTTAGAGGAAGAGGATTCAAGTTAAGGTGAAGATTTGTTGATGTGACTTGAATCGAACAATCTGTCTATGACTAGAAGTCACATGGGTCTTGCTGTATGGGCCGATACACGTTTAGGTTGTTGTTCTGGGCCTGGTTTGTAACCAATTTCCTTTATCATATTCGATTAGGGTTAGACCACATGGAAAATTCTCATCAGCCTTCAAGAAGGCGCGCCTAGGCTCAATTAGGCGCTAGGCGGTGGAGGATCGCCTTGACTTTGCCATATGCGTTCTAAAAGGCGCTGGTAGCGCTTAATAGGTATGAATAACGCCTAATAGGCGCCTAGTTGGAGAGAAGGTGTTCCAAGGCGAGCTTAAGCGGTCAAGCCTAATATGTTTCGTTTTGGCCTTTTGGGTCCTCTCTATTCCTCTAACGTGAATTGTTACTTGCCACTTTCCCTAGAGAATCAGAAACACGCGAAGTCGGGAACATAGGGAGGATAAATGAGAAGTCGGTACTCTACTCTCGCCCCATCTGCTGCTGCTCCACTATCGCCGCTCAGCCGCAGCAGGAGAAAGTTGTCAATCGAGCTTTCTATCGCCCGCTGCTCCTCCCGTCTGTCCACTCCGCCATCACAGGGAGAATCACCCGGTGAACCCCGTCGAGTGCTACTCTCGCCTTCGCACTGCTCTGACGCTATAGTGGGAAATCGTCACTCGAAACTCGTTAGTTACTGCTCCTTCCTTCTCCTAGGTCCGTCGCACAAGCTTCTTGCCTCTGTAAGTACTACTTAGAAGATTATTGGTTTTTGTTTCCGATACTGGAAGATGATTCATCTCCCTTTTAGATTTGTTGAGTTGCGTCCCTTGTTCCTGAATTGCAAACCAATCCAAGTTGTGTCCTTGCCTCGGTTGACTGATTGTGTCCCCTGTTTCAATTAATTTTGTTTTTTATAATGGGGCGGAGTGGTGCGAAGGCGAGAAGTATCCCTCTATGATTCATCTCCCTTTTTGATAATGATTCATCACTTTACACTTACTATGAGGGTGATTGAGTATTATTTACACTTACTGTGTCGTTAAGTTCCTTTTAAGCCTTTACCTATTTGTTAAGTTTGATTCTTTAGGTATATATGTATATGGTTGTTTATGCAAAGAGTGATGAACCATTATATATAGATCAATATATGTATTTAATTTGAATGATCTCTTTTCTCATAGGACAGGTTGTGATTCTACACTTTTATCTGTAGAATGGAAGATGCATGTGGATCAGCGAGAGGAGTGTAAAATATAGAGAATGTCAATATTTTTAAGAGGAAGTCTGGTGATATAGTTTAGCAATATGGAAGATTGGTGGATCCCAACAATAAGGAGAAAGTGCAGTGCAATTTTTGTGGTCAATCATCCCGGCGACGCTACCCTCATTCACGGTTGCCGTCATCAGGAGGGCCGATGTTCATTTCGCATTCCAACTCCGTCTCTGCAGCCGTCGGTGCCATCAGCACCCTCGACATCATCCTACCGATTTTGTGTTTGGCTGGAGTTTCTTTATCATTTAAAATCCATCATGCAGCTGGTTTGACATCACCAGTCAATTCCACAGGGTCGTCTGCTTGTCGTTCTGCCTTGGAGCTTGGTTTCTTATCGACGGATACTACTGAAGTTTACATGCCATTTGGTGTTGATGCCGTCGTCAATCATCAAAGCTGGGTTTTTGTCATTTTGTTGGAGTTTTGTCACAAGCGTCCATTTACTTGATCCATCATCTAGTTGTCTTTTAGTGGTGTCACCATATATCTCTCTAGTAGGGATTTGTTTTTAGGTGAGGTTCTTTAAGTTTGAGGTCTTGGAGGATGCACTATTTTGAGTTGGCGGTCGCTATAAAGATGTTTTTGAAGTCATCGTCAGTTCAAAGAAGGTGTCCCAATGTTTGGTCAAGCAAAATTCTCACCAACATTCATCAAGTCATAACGATAGAGATGCTCTCGACCCAATCGTAGGTCGTCCCTTCATTAGTCGGTGTTGGAGATAAATGAAAACTTTCTTAAGTTATGAAGCGAGAAAGTCACGATTCAAGAAGCGATCGTCCCCTCGACGTTCATAATCAGGTAATTTTCAGTTTTCACCATTTTAACTTTCAAGTTGGGCATTCACGTCGTTCATGCTCCAGCTTGAGGGAGAGAATAGGGAGTCAACATATGTCGATCGCCTAGCTCAGTCATCAAGTCGACCGCAATGTACCAGCGTGAGTTCACGTCGTTCAAGAGACGCAGTCAACCATCTCCACCATATCATTTAGATAGACGCAGTCAACCGTCTCCGTCTCCGTCTAGTCGTTCAAGAAGACGCAGTCAACCGTCTCCATCATGTCGTTCGGATAGTCAACCGTCTTTGTCAGACCGTCACGACGGTCAAGAAGACGCAGTCAATCATCTTCATTAGGTTGTTGATAGAGAAAGAGTCAGTCATCTCCTAGTCAACCTCGTCCAATATTTCATTCATCTTGTGTTTTGTTGTACAAACTTGCCATGCTTGTTCTTCACATTTCCTTTTTCAAGCTCGACATTCTTGTCATTCATGTCTTCGCTTGAGGGGGAGTGCTGTAGTTATTTAAACCGTGTGAGTTTTGGGTCTTGTTGGGCCTTGTCCGAGTTGTAGTAGGTATGGATAATTGGTCGTACTCAGCTCTTCTCGTTATGGTTTTAACCTTAAGTCTTTCTCTATATAAGGCTTAGCTACGGTCATCGTGGATTAGTCCTGTTCACGTCGAACAGGGATACCCCGTAAACATCTTATGTCTCTTGTTCTTTTCAATTCCACATCATCAAATTATACAATTTAGCTTATGGTGGAGTGAACTCTCGCAACGACACTCAGAAGGATGCAGTCCGTTTTACTCGCGTATGTTGGTCAAGCGAAACTAGTTAGATTAATTTAATCTAATTCATTTAAGTAAGTACTTTACTCATGCCTTTTATTGAAATTGTGGTTATTTTTTGAAGTCATTTCTTTCAAATTCGAGTAAGTCATTACCAATTTTACTTTGTAGTGGTAAGGAATTTTGCAAAACAAAAGTCAACTTTGTCATCCTACCAAAACTTTGTCATCCTAAACTTCGTAGTTATCCTTTTTCCAAGACCGATCTACTCTCACTCCAATCACTCTAGTTTCTTCTTCTCCTTCTCCTTCTCCTTCTCCTTCTCTATCTCTTTCTCGGGGACTCTGCCTCTAGTTCCTCTGATTTGCGCTGCACGGCGGCCAAAAGGGAAGAGAGAAAAGGGGGAAGATGATCATCAAAAGTACAGCTGATCTCGTGAAAGACGAGCTCCCAATCGAGCAGGAAGCGATGGTGATTCCAGAGGACGGAGGAGCTGTCTCCGGTCTGGTACTTGTGGACATCATCAACTGATTCTGCACCGTTGGAGCCGGGAATTTGGTGAACAATCTCTTTCTCTTAATACATAGATAAGTGAAAATATTCGGCAAGTGTTTAATAAAGAGAATAATTTTGATTACTCTACCCTGTTTTTTGAAGGCTCCAACAGAGCCGAATACGCAGATCACCGAAATGATTAAGGAATCGGAGAGGATGGCAAGGTCATTCTGTGAGAAGAACCTCCCTGTCATGGTTTGCCTTGATTCCCATCACCCTGGAAAGCCTGAAAACCCATACCCTCCTCACTATCTGTGGGCACCCCTGAATCCAACTTGGTTCCCGTACAAATTAAACAAATTAGTATTGTTCTTCCCCAATCGATGTCTCTTGCTGCAACTTCTCTGCCTGAAAGTATGGATCTTTCTTTCGCTGCAGCTTTAGAGTTGGCTTGAGAAGGAACCAAACGTGACAATCAGAAGGAAGGACTGCTTCGATGGGTTCTTGGGAATCGATACAGGAAGATGGGTCCAACGTTTTTGTCGACTGGGTTGCCAAGAATGCCATCACAACTGTAAAAAAAATTATCGATCTTTCACCTCTATGAATAGATATAGAATAGTATCCGCTAATCGAACCAATTGTTTGAGCCGTTAGTCTCATTACTGTTGCTATTCACGAATGAAATGCTACACAGATAGTGGTGGCTGGGGTGTGCACAGACATATGCGTGCTGGACTTCGTCTGCTCGACGCTATCAGCCAGAAACCTGGGATTTCTGAAACCTCTGGAGAATGTGGTAGTGTGTTCGAATGCCTGTGCTACGTTTGATGTCCCTCTCCATGCTTCAAAGAGGGCCAAGGGTGCTATGGCTCATCCCCAGGTAACTTTTTACGCCCATTTTTTAGCCGATCTCTTCAGTAGAACCTAATATTGTACGATGTTCAATGAGACCATGACGACTATATATGTGTGTGGGCAGGAGCTTATGCACCATGTAGGGCTATACATGGCGAAGGAAAGAGGTGCCGTCATAGCAAGTGAGGTGAGGTTTGCATCCAACAATAATATGGGACGACTCGATGTGTGAACCAGCCTTACCTACTTGATACGTGGAGTGGAGTTGTCTCTCCATATAGATGGGAGTTCATGCTCTGTTTCATACAGCTGAAGTTTGGTTTCCGGCAGTCCTAGTAGATATTGTCCCTACTAGAAGTATTTTGATCGAACTTTACTTTCCAATGGCGCACCGTTGTTATACGACTACTACTGCTACCTAGTTGGCCACTCTACATGGCGAAACGATATTTTTCCATGATGGAATGTAAACTTAAGTACTTATGTTAAGTGACTTTTATATATTTCATGCAACTTACTTGGATATATATGTGTCCAGTAAATAACCGTTGTTATACTACTGTTACTTAGTTCTGCCACGTGAAAAGAAAAAAAAATCTATAAATTATTAAAATTTCAAGCAAATAAACTGAAACAAAAAAGCATTAAAATACATAGAAGTTGTTGCTTGAATTTTGACGAGGTGCAGTTTATTTTCGACATAAGCTTGTCTACCGTACGCCTGTTGAGTTTTGCGATTTAGACAATGAATTGATTGGAGTTTGGGGCATGATATTATAACCCTAACGTGTCAATCCCAATCCCCAATTCACTAACATAAACCATAAGATTCATTTAATCTTGAAATGAAAATCAACGATGCTGATTCATTGAAATTATCGTTGATTATTAAACGAATTTTTCAATTTGGGTTAGAAAATTAGGAACTGGGGTTCACCCATTAGAGGTTAGGGTATAGTATCATGCCCCAAACTCCGATTAATTCATGATCTAAATACTAAAACTCAATGGGGCATACGGCAGGTCAGCGTACGCTCGGGCATACGCTAGCCTGAACCATATATATATAGTAAATTTCATAAACATTTTTCGAGATAAGTTAAATAGGTTATTCATTATAAGCTAACAAATTGTAATATTTTGTACTTTTAAATTTTACACATGAAAAGAAACAGGGTGAACCATAGCTTGTGGTAAATCTACGTCTAAAATTTAAGTTGAAGAATGCATTAGACTAGCGAGACTATATAAAAAGAATATTGTAAAATATCCTAATTTCCTCCAAATATCTGAACACTTTGAAAGTAGTTGTGACATGAATTCGGTAGAGTATCTACAGGTTGCACAAATCAAAATCCACACCTAACCTAAAAAGTGAGCTCTACAAAAGAAACCATCACACAACCTTAACCTTAATTTAAGCAGTAAATAACGGTACATAAACCAATCTAAATATAATGGGGATTTAACAACTTATGAATGGCATCTAAAACTCAACATCCCAAACACTTTCTAATGTCAAAAGTAAAGCTTGCAAAACATACATACGATAAACCAAACTACGACACCATGTAACAAATAGAGAAAACCCAATCCTTCAAATCAAAGTGCGGCGGCCATGACTTCATCCACTAGCGCCACGTATAGCTCCTCTGGAAACTTTAAGACCAGCACCAGCAGCACATCGGTTTTTATAGTCATTTGGCAAAGGAATGAGATTGTCGATGCATGTCCAGAAGCAGAAAGGCACCATAGAACCATCGTTCCTAACAACGAAGTAGGCCGGATAGCTCCCCACTGTGGGCATCCGAATATGTACTGATTGGAGACCCCCTCCCGAACCAACCTTCTTCTCCCACTCTGGATCGCCCTTCTTCAGCAAAGCCAACAATACCGTTTGAATAACCTACATACACAAAACCAAAAAAAATAATCCAGTTGAGTCTTCAAAGCAAGAAAGAAAGCCATAAAACTGATTGATGGCTCCAAATGTAGAACATGCAATAAAGGCAGGGATAGGAAAATATCATAGAGCAAATACCGGGTCGGTGATAGGAGATTCATATGGACAAAGTTGATTCAAACTTCCGAAATATGAAAACATTTGTGTGGAACTCTGAAATTTCAGCCAACCCAAGGTGACACCACCTTCCCCATCTTCTTCATGATGACAGCTACAAGGACCAACGCATTGTTCTTTAAATTTCTCTGTCAAGGGAAAGATATGATCACACATTTGATGAAGCAGAAATCCTCCATAGAACCATCTCCCCTAACAAAGTAGAAGCTTCGCAGATCACTATCGTATGCTGGATGGATTCGAACTTGAAATGATTCGACGCCAGAAGAACCAATCTTTTTTTCCGACTCTGGATCACCCTTCTTCAATAAATCCAGTAATATCAGGTGGGCATGCTTCTACAATCACACCCACAAGAAATAAATGACATGCAATCTATGTTTAAATACAGATCAAAACAAAAGTAATGGGCATGAATGAATAAACGCATTACCTCGACGAGATTCTGATTAAGTGGGGACCTCATAAGCAACGAGTAAAAGTATCTATACATATGCGTGGAGTAATAGAATTTCTTCGAACCCAAGATGACGGTGTTGAGCCTTCCCATCCTCTCCTCCTCATCTAGCCTAGCATTTTGTTCTCGTGTAAGCCTTTCAAGTTCCTCTGCCACTCTATCAGCACGCAAACGACCCATGCCTCCTTCTATATGACATGCACAAACAGCAACAACACCACCACCTTGATCTTTCAAATCCTCGGGTAATGGAAGGATGTTGTTTACACAGGTCCTGAAGCAGAAATCTGCGGTCGAATCATCTTTCCTAACGATAAAGAAGGTGCGGAAGTGGCTGCACATCGTGTCATTTCGGACTCGAAATGAATCGACCCCACAACCAATCATTTTATGTGGCTCGGGATGACCCTTCTTCACCAAGTCCAGCAAGCTCGGCACGATCCTCTGCCAAAAGAATGTGCAAGCAAGCAAGCAACTGAATCAGATAACTGTAGACAAGTAAGTTAATTTCACAGAGCAGAAGAATCAGAGCATTAACTAAAGCACCCCGTCCAGTAGATAACAAATAATCTAATCAAAATCTATCAATGGTATGAGCACGGTAGACTTTCACAGACAACATTATTGAAGCCTTGGATATATAACTAAAGACCCACCATTCCCTTCCCGACTTGATAGAAAGAAAAACAAACTAAGCATAACTGACAAAACAAAGGGAGTAAAGCACTAAACTACACTATACATTCCCACATCATCAATGCTCAAGCTTGTACACTTAGAATGATGTTCGAAGGAAGGCAACCTTGGCTGCAATTAAGCAAATAAACAAAGGCAGTAGTAGCAAATGAAGTGAAAAGAAAAAGCGCAACCAACAAACACATCATGGTCCGGTCCGATCCTGAAGAGATGAGGATCATTCCTTGCAACACAAAGAATTAATAAGCAAAGGCGAGTGGAGATCTAGTTCCAGAAATCAAATCCTAAATTATTTATACGTAAGCCATCGAACAACAGCAACCCCTAGCTAGCTCACGCGATGTATCTATCTATCTGTCAAGCAATCAGTATATTTATGAATGAAGACAGAGGAACAATGGAATAGAATACCCACATTGACGACGGGGAAATTTAGATAACTACCGGTCATCCACCCTTTGAAAGTTTGAAACATCTCACGTGAAGTCGTAAATTCCATCATACCCAAACGGACCACCCCCTCCGTTCCGGCGTCCTTTTTCCGCTTCTCCTTCTTCCAGACATCATCGCTTCTTCCGGCGTCACCGCTCTCTGCTTCCCCAGTTTCCTCCCTTGCTCGCTTTACAACTTCCTCTGGATTCCTTCCCCTAAAAAAAAAGCTTCCTCTGGATTCCTTTCAATGGCCATATTGCGGAAGCCTAGAAAGAGAGACCGATAGGGAAGGAAGTTTGTGACAACCGTGTCGGAGGAGGTGAATTTGACTACTAACGTCGCAGAGAGGAAGAACGAGAAGAAGAATGTAGAGGAGAGGAGAGGAGAGGAGAGGAATTGGCCAATTAGGGTTTCCGACTACACGTACGGAATCGTTGGCAATCACGGATTGTAAAATATTGGGCTTAATTGCAAGTTTGGTCACTCGGATTGCTACAAAAATTCACGTTTGCCACTCAAATTAATTTATTCCATTTATAGTCACTTAAATTAGGTTAACAGTCCAAGTTTGGTCACTGACCGTTAGTCCCCATTAACTTTTGCTGATGTGGCGGTCTGGGAGCCGTCTCCGATCCTTTTTGCTGATATTCTAGGTACTCAGCCAACCAACGCTCCGCTTTTCCCATTATTTCGAATTCCTCCAGTTTCTTCTTGTTCCAACACTGACTGTTCCGTTCTCCCCACATGAACCAGAGGGCCGCTAGAAATTGGGCTATCTGCTCGTCGGACTCGGTCTCCTGCAGAGCCACCATAAATACATACCATTACCACTCATCAGGAAGTTAAAGCTCTCCTACAAAACACTTAAACTATACATAGTTTGAGATGGTTGTCATGATATTGTACGTAATCCTAAAGTCTAGTAGTTGTCCAAAATATTTTGGTTTAGTAAATAGGCAGGCCCATTTAATTTTTTACCCATAATGTTTTGGTTTGTTGTGCACATGCAAATAAAATAGTGAATCACGAAAGTTTGGTTTGGTTGGTTGCATAGAAGTATAAATAATTTTGTATATTAGGTGTATCATTAATTGGTTTCATTGGTTAGCAGTGTTGAAACCAAACCAAACCACCTAAACCAAATAAGCTAAATTATTTAACCAAACCAAACCAATCATCCAAATTAACCAAACCAAATTAACCGAATGCTACCAGTTAATATGGTTACGACGGTAACCAATCCGTTTGAACACCCCTACTGCAGACAGTTATAGAATGAAATTGAAGGAATGACAACTTTTAAACTCTATACAAAAATTACTTCTTCCAAACGAATAAAACATCAACTCCTCTTTGAAAGATGACACCAACACCTGCACTTGCTTCGCAGGGCCACCACAAGACCGGTTACAACATTCCTTCCACAGTATGGCCACCATCCAGCTCCAGAGAGTGCCATTATGCACCCATAAGCCCCTTCTTTCTGCACTTCCCTGCAAGTCTGCTGTAAACATGCATCCCAACTGTTTGGCCAGTTATGAACTCTGTGAAAAGCAGCCATAAAGAATTGTTGGGCATAGCTACAACCACAAAACAAGTGGTCTCGATCTTCATCTGCAGCACTACACAACATACAATCCGCATTATCAATCATACCCCACGCTTTCAATCTCTCTTTAGTTTTAATCCTGTCAAGAATAATCATTCATGAGATAAACCGATATATGAGAATAGAGTATTTCGTCCACAGAACCCTCCACCATAAAGCTTTAGGTTTGTGAGGACGAATAAAGTCCCAAACTCTCTGAACCGAATACTTCACAAGGGGCTTCCCCTCCCAAGTAACTTGCCCTATACTGTTGACATGCATTCTATTATGAAAACAGCTTCTGAGTTTCAATATTTGTTTCCAGACCCAAGAACCAACATTGGCAGCAGGTAATGACCAAATGGAGCAATTCTTGAGTCTGTATCGGTGAATCCATGCGACCCAAAAGCTGCCCCCTTGCAAGAATAAAAGCCAGAGCAATCTGCCACAACATGCTATGTTCCATGTGTGCAGATCCTTGAGGTCAAGTCCTCCTTCTTGCTTAGGAGTAGCTATAATACTCCACGCCACCTTGGCCTTGCCATAGCCATCTCCAAACCAAAGAAAATCATAGCACAGTTTGTGTATTTGATCAAGAACATTCTTCGGAAGCATAAAGATCGACCTCCAAAAGTGGACTAAAGAGTAAATAACCGACGACACAAGGTGAAGGCGTCCTGCATATGAAAGTTTATTGGCTTGCCATGTTCTTATCCTACCAGTGATCTTATCAACAAGCTTGGCACACTCACTACAAGAAAATATGCCTAATATGACGGGATGATTTTGTCACGTTATATGTCGACTTTGTCACAGTAGGTCCTTTATGACAAAATATTTTGTCACAAAGTTTTGTGACAATAGCCCCGTCGTATTAGGTCTGGGGTGACAAAAAATTGTAACGTTTGTCACAACAGTGTTTCCTTTATTGTGACAAATATCGTACATCATAACAGGATGCATTTGTGACAAAATAAACAAGGTGATGTCTTTGTCACACCACACTTCCATTTTGTCACATTAGACGTTATTTTTGGGCACCGGTTGTGACAAACGTGTAGGTTATGAACACCTTGATGCTCAGATTGTTTGTCACAATGTTTTTTTTGTCACATATTGCTCCAATATTATGACAAACCATATTTGTCATTATTTGCTGCAATCCGTTGTGATGATTCTTCGACCACATTTTGTCATTTTAAGGAAATCTGTATGGTACGAATAATTAATGTGACAAAATAACGTTCTGCCATACGAGGTACATCATTAGCTGGTTGTCAGAACCATTTCCATTCATCCAAATGTACTCCATTATCCGAAACTTACAGAATACTTGAAATAAAAAGGCATCTGCAAATTAAACAACCAACATGTCCTGCCACAAAAGAGCTACTACTAGATTAGTTCAGTAGCCTGACCCTTCTACCCCCAAAAAGAAACATCCACACATGCTCCTCCACCCAAAAGCAAGCATAAAAACAAGCATCACGCCCTCCATAGCTTCGCAAACCTTCTAGCATCCCCTTACCTGTTAGTACATGAACACATATATGGCATCACAAACCACACAAGAAAATGTACACTTCACCATCCAAACACTCAAGTAAATATAAAGATTCCTTGTTCAAGTTGTTTTGTGCATACATTTTTGCAACCAACTCGAGCCCAGTAGTTTCAAGATGGTGGTGTGATGCTTCCATTTGTTCAAACTTGCTGTCTTGCGTCTGCAGTTTGGTTTGTTGGATTTCAATTTGATCCTCAAATTGCTTGGTCCGCCTTTCAAAATTCTCTCTTTCTGCTTGCCTTTCTGCCCTTTCAGCTTACAATTCTCTCTCCAACTGAAGCTCTCTAGCAGAGCACCTTGCTTCCTTTTGTGATATCCTTGGCTTTTTGTTCAACACCTTCTCAACTATCGCGGAACATGGAACATTATTACCTTGTTCCTTAGACTGAGTGCTCAAGACATTCATCGATTCCTACAAGTGCAACAAAATAACAACCACAATGCTCAATACAGTGATTAAGTAATCAATTATGGAACAAGGTCAACTGAGACAAGATGGAAGACAAGGGCATACATAACTTTTTTCGGTGTCTGGATGAACCCAGTTACCATCACGCCTCTTATGTATGTCAGCATAGACAAGGAATTCTGGCGGTGTCATTGGTAGATTCTCCTGCTCATATGTGGTTGTCTCCTGCTCACCATTACTACCATGCACTTCATCAATTATTTTTTCACTATTTGCCTCCTTCTTGTTCTTATTTCACATAAGCACGAAAGGTAATTAAGTTATAAGCATTCCAAATGAAGATATATATATATATATATATATATATATATATATGTGTGTGTGTGTGTGTGTGTGTGTGTATACAACGAATTGAACACAATATATAACCTACCAGTTCATAGATCCTTTGATTAACTGACTCAGGCCCTGCAGTATGGGGATACAGTTGCTGGCTCCTATTCGTTGTGTTAGCGTCACTTCGTTTCTGATGTGGGGAGGGGGGAGGGTAAGAAGATATGTAAAAACTTTGTGGTTGGGTTTACAAGTTCTATGAATTGAAACTGGTTGGGCCTTACCTTGAAACGCAAACTATCAAAATGGTCACAGAGAAGCTTCCAGTTATCAATGTTCACTTCCTCCATCGGTGTCTCCCGAGCTTTCACCTTGTCAGTCTCATTCTCGAGCGTTGGTGACAATGATACTTAAACTGCCTAAATCGAGAGGCCATTGTAGCTTCCACCGTTTCTTTCACACATGGTGTTGCCATGTCTAATATCAAACTCACTCTATCATTTCCAACTAAGACAAATGAACAAAATTTCAGATCAAAGGAATTAGGAACTTATATAACTATAAGACAAACATTGAAAAAGTAAACATTAACCTCCAATTTGGCAAGTTCAGTCCAGCTCGAACCCCCAATTCACCCGCAAAAGAGAGTAGCACTAGAGGATGAACTCAAAACATTGCTAGAAAATTGATAGTATGCTCACAAAACCTAGATTTCAGTGAAACCGAAAGATGAACTCAGACCACTGGACTAATTGAAAAAAGTCCATAATGGAGAAATCAAGCATAGTAAAGTAATCAAATAAAGTCGACAAATCAAAGCTAGTTGGAAATCGAACATCACAAACTCACAAATCAGACCCACGAAACTGTGATAGAACTCCATAATCGAGAAAACTAAGGTGTTGAAGCAGTCAAATAGAGGCGTAACCAACATCACAACATCACAATGCAACTAAAAAAATCAGTGGAGAAGACGTCGTAATGGACATCAGCTGAAGAGATTCGTCGATAAAACGGGGTTGAACGATCAATCGACAACAAAGTAAAATCAGGACATGTAGTCGATCATGGATGAGAAATCTATCGACAACGCAGTACGATTGGTAAGACCTGAGATCTGAAGACAAAAATCGAACAACCGAACAACAAAATCTATCGACATGCAACAAAAAAATCTTAGTTTGTACCTAATTAGAGCCTTCCTCTATTCGTCTGGGCTTCAATCAGGAAGACTGGGGATTATGATTTTGGTGATGGATTATAGTTTTGCTGAGGGAAGAACAGTTCTAGGGATTATGGTTGTTCGTGAGAAGG